TGGGCCTGTCATCAACCAGCCTCTGTTCATCCCTGGGGCCAAATCTGCAGCTGGTGCTGCCTATTCTAGGCCCTCAGCTGAGTCCCCAGGACCACATCCTCCTCCGTGGCCTCCCCGTGATGTAAGGTCAGCCTCATATCCCTGCACCCACACAGCGTGAAACATCCCAAGGGAAGGTTCTTCTTAATTTGTGTCCCCAGCTCATTCCACTGGGACCTCCCTCTGCTTCCCTTTCCAGGTATGAACTGTCTGCCCTGAATCCCCCTGCTGTGGGGAGACCCCCTGGCCCTCTGGTTTTGCTTTGGGGGTGGGAGGTGCAGAGTAGAGCCAGCTGGCCTGAAGGGCGGAGGGAATGTTACACAGGAGGTTCTGGGGACTTCCTCAGGTCCCAGACCTGACTCCCAGCACCAGGATGAGTGTGGGCCAAGAGGTGCTTCCCAGGGTCAGATTGCCTCACAGGAAGAGCTGAGAACCCCATCCCAGCACCGTTGCGAGCAGCCTTTACACTCCACCTCCTTGGAAGGCCTGGCTCAGGGCTCAGGACTTGGCTCTTCTGTTGTCCCCACCACAGTCCCATCCCCAACTCACCACAAGGAAGCAGGACAGGGGCCAGTGTGGTGGAGGGCTCAGCTTCATCCTCAGCTTCATCCTCAGGCCCTGTGGTCCCCAGCCTAGGGCAGGCAGAGGGGAGGCTCAGCAGGAGGTGAGAAAAGGCCCACTTCCAAGACAGCACTAGATGGGGAATTCGCAAGGTGCTGCTGGGCAGGTAGAGCATCTACAAGGCTTGGCCTACACTCCCCCCCTCCCCCCCACTATAGCCCTCAAGCCTGAGTAGAGGTGGGGGTGCCCTGTCTGGGGCCCACCTCCCAGGTCAGCCAGGCTGGAGGAAGGCAGGATGATCTGCCAGGCTTAGGAGGCTTCCTAGAGGAGGTCCAGCTTCCTTCCCCTTCTATAAACAGCCAGGTGCCCTGGGGCATGGGCAGGGGAGCCTGGGAGGAAGGAAGCCTATGACTGCATCCCTGAGGATGGGGGATAAGAGAGCTTGCAATCCCCCCGCCCCCATCTCTCAGTCTCCTGCCCCTCAGAACTCCGTGCAGGCCGAGCATGCCCACTTCTTCTGCTCTCTGCCTTCACTCTTGCTGTTCCTGCTCAAGGCAGGCCCTTCCTCTCACCCTTCAAAGCCCAATACAAGTCCTCTGTCTCCAGAAGCTTCTCCAGACCACCTATCTCCAAAGCTGGGTTTTGCCCCCAAAGCTCCTGCATGTACCCCCCAACTCCATCACAGTCGTGGCCCTCCCATGTGCCCACTGTCCACACCCAGCCAACTTCTCCAAAAAGGGCCAGGGCAGACCTGGGGGAGGTCCTGTGGAGTGGTTCTAGTGGCCAGCATTCAGCCTCCCATCCTCTCTCAGGCACCTACTGTGTGCCAGGTACAGGAAACAATATGAATATGAACGAGATGGACAGTGTCCCTATCCTCACGGAGCTCATACCACAGGGCAGACCAGTGGCCAACATATACTGTCTCCACGCAGTGGGCATGGGCCTGAGAGGCTGAGTGTAGCTTCCCCTGGCGAAGTCTCCAGCCAGTGGACAGGCTGGAGTAGCAGAAAGGAGGATAGAAATAGACAACAAAAGGGATCGTGGAAAACGAGAGAGTTTCCAACAACCTATTTCCAGGCTCAGGAGGGTGAGGGGATCAATATGTGTCTGGCCAAAGCCACAGGCCATGTGGAACCTCTGAACCCTGAGGGGTGGCATTGGAGAGCCAAGTCACTGGCCTAGGGAACCCCTCAGGTTAAAGGGACCCTGCCTGGATCCCTAAACTGTCTGATGCCAAGCCCCTTGGGAGAGCCCCTCAGCCTATGGGTGGCACAGGCTTCCCACTTGGAAAAGGAGCCAGAAGAAAATGATCTGGCCTCACTGGATGGCTTGGCCCAGCCAGACCTCGGCAGGCCAGGGGCTTGAGTTACACCACAGGAGGGGGAGGGGCAGCAGTCACACCACGGGACTCTCTAGGTCACTGGCAGCTCTAGGCCCAAGGCCAGCTCAGGGGAAAACCTGGGACAGAACGTTGGGCCAGAGTAGAGTGAAGGCTGGCCCCTGACAGCGCCCAACAGGTGACATCCCCTGACCCCTTCCCCAACCTGCCCCTCCTCTGACTTGGTTACAAGTTTTCCTTTCCTGTTTCTGCCCCCAAGTGAAACTTCACCCTGCCTGGGTGGCTCCCATTCAAACCCACCTCCCCACAGGCCCTACCCTGTTCTTCATAGGATCTAATCCATAGGCCTGCCACAAGCCCCAAGTCCTCAGGCTGGTCCCAGAGCCCTGCCCAGGGGCCAGACCCAGCATCCATCCATGTCCCCCAGGGTGGGCCCAGAGGGCTGGGGCAGGAGTGAAATGTAAGAGGTACCATAGCCACAGAAGAGATGGCCCCCCGCCCCACCCCTGGCCCTGACTGCACCTGCTGGGTGACCTGAGCCCACAGGGAGGGCTGTGCAGCTGCTCATCTCCAGACAGACAGGGACCTGAGATCTTGAGGCTTCCAGGAGCAAAATGGGGGTCTAAAGGCCCAGACTCAAAGTCAGTGAGGACCCACTTAGGCACATTCACAGACACTCACTGCCTAGAGAGCCCTGCCGCCTTCTAATTATGTACCTTCTAATTACCCCAAACCAGCACTTACTCCAGTCTAGCCCCCAAGCCTCTGCTTACAGCTGCTCCCCTTGCCCCACACTCAGCCCAGACTGAGCCCCCAATGGGCCTGCCCAGTCAGGCAGCCGCCAGCCAGCTGCCTCCCCTTCTGCACCCCCTCCCCCATCAGGACTCCAGCATCTAAGCCCCGAGCCCTGGAACCTCCACCAAAGCCCCTTGGCTAGGTGCGGGTATGGGAAGGCTCCATCCCCACCCCCTGCCTTGACCTGGAGGCCAAGGAGTCAGTGACTTCCCAAAGCCACCAACTCCTGAGGGCTTCCTAGAGGGGGCATGTGGGCAGACCAAGGCCCCGAGAAGGGCAGTGCCCACAGCCAGGGGCCTCCTTTCCTGCCCCTGTGCTCCTGGCAGAGGAGAACCCTGTGGGGCCCCAGGGGCAGAGAAGGAAGTGAGCTTAGAGGCCACTCCTCCCTGAACAGAGCCTCCTAGCCTGGGGCCCCACCAACTCCCTATGGGACCCAAGCCCCTGCTTCACCTCACCCAGTGTAAGCGTCCTCAACTGCAACATGGGATATCATCTCCCAGGGCAAGGCTGGCACGGGTTTAAATGAGGTAACGAGCCTAAAGTAGGTCGTGGGAGTTCCTCCCCATCGGCCCTTCTTTCCCGCTGCACCTCCTGCCCAGGCAGGTAATTAAGCATTTGTTTGCTTGCTTGCTTATTGTTTGCCCCCCCACCAGACAGCAGCAAGGGCGGGGACACTGTCTCATTCACCACAAAACCCTCCCCAGCCCACGTCTGGGGCAGGAGGCCTCCACCAAACAAGCTCACAGTAGCAGGGGCTTCCTCACACTCAGCCTAGCCCCGCCCTCAAAAAAATACCCGAACATTGGAACCAGAAATTCCCTGGAAGAAAGCCTATTAATAAAGCCAGGGCAAGGGTCCCTAGAGGCCAAGGAGCACCAGGGAGGTGCAGCCCTGGAGGCCACAGAGAAAGAGGAAGCTGTGTCCCCTGCCCCCGCCCCCCACCCAGGCCTTGGCAGCTTCCCCTTTCCCAGAACTGAAGCAGTGGGGTCACGGGCACCCAGCCACTCACCAGCCTCACCCTAGCCTCCTTGTCATGCCACCAAATCCTGAAGGTCTCCTGGCCTCATGCCCACCCCCATGGCCACCTACCTCCTTAGCCTCCAGTTCAGCCCCACCTGCAGCCTAGGTGTCTTGTCTCTGAGATCTGGCCCCACCCCCACCCCACTCCAGCTGCTCTGAGCTTCTTTCAGTCCCCACATTTGCCTGTCACCCCAGCACTGGTATCTGCTGTTTCTTCTGCCCAAAAACCCCTCCCATCACCAGGCCAACGCCTACTCTTCCTTCAGAGCTCTCAGCTCAGTCACTTCCTCCTGGAAGCCCCTCTACCACCTCCCTTTCTGCAGTAATCATCCTGTGTGTGCTCATCCTGCTTATGCCCCTTCCTCACTGACGGCTGCCCTCTGTGCCCAGTGGCCAGCACAGGGCCTGGCCCCAGTATGTGGGGAGGTATATACTGAGCTTAGGAGGTAGGGGGCAGGGATCAGAAAAGGCACACTCAGGAGAGGATGCAGCTTCTGCCAAGGTTTAGAGGGGCAGAGAACAGGCTGGTGGTTAAGGAACCCAGAGGTTGGGGTGAGGTGGGGGTCGGAACCTACACCTGAACCCCTGGGCCCACTTGGGGAGAACCAGCCTGACTATGGCTCTGGACCTTACCCCACTGTACAGAGGGCTGATGAGGACTCACATGAAATACTCAGCACAAGACATGGCACTAAGCCCTCAATAAGCATGTGCTGTGCCTCATTTTCCCCATGTGTAAATTGTGGAGGGAGCAATAGCATACACTGATAGGCAGGTGTAAGGTATAAGTGAGATTCTCTTATATTTACGTATAATGCTTGGCACAGAGTCTGGTACACAGGAGGTGTCAGTTGGCCATGGTGAGAATCTGGGAACTGGGAGGGTATAGGAAGGGGGGGCTCTGGGAAGGTGGGTGGGCAACGCCCAGGTCACACCAAGCCTGGCTGCAAGCTGAGAAGCTTGCACTTCCCCTGGGGCCTATAGGAGCCCAGAAGGGTTAGCAGGGGACAGGAATGGAACAACTGTGCCTCAGAGGGCGCCCTGCCAAGTGAAGCTGGACTGGGGAGCTGGAGGTGGGAGGCAGGTGCCCACCTATGGCAAGGAGGCGAGGCAGGTATTTCTGTTTCCCAGCTAGCAGCTCTAGGGCCTGAGAAACACCCTGCAGCCTCCAGAGGCTAGTGTTGCCTGGAAACACAGTTGGACATGGTCCCCTCAGCGATGGCTGCACCCGAGGCAGGAAGACAAAGGCCGCCCATCAATAGAGAAATTCAGGTTAGCGAGGAGCCCAGTGGTTCCCTGGCAACTGGGGCTGAAGTAGGGCAGCGCCCACAGTGGGCGGCAGTAGGCATCTCCTCCTTCCCATCCTCCATCCTCACAATGAAGGGAAATGACCCTCATTCCCTTGGGCCAGGTCCTCATCCTGGGTTGCCTCCACTCCTCACAGGAGAGATGAGCATCCCCTTTTCACCTGGGCTAACTGTGCCACGGGAGGTTACTTGAATGGGTCACAGAAGCAGCAAGTGGTGAAGCAGGGTGGAGCCCAGGGCTGTCTGACTCTCTGCTTCCCACCTCACTCTGGTCCCTTCCCTGGAGCCTAGCCCAGGGCCTGGCATTCAACACATGCTCTCGGGGCGTCTACCAGCCTGATGGCAAGGCCAGGCAACCAGTGGACATGGTAAGCAGGGGGGCTATTACACAGCACCCAGGAGGGCCCTAGGGAAAAAGGTGCTGGCCCCACCCTGGAGATCTCTGGGCATCTGAGGTTTTCCTGCTTTTGTACTCATTTGCATGCTGCCCTATTCTGTGCCAACTCCAGGGAAAGGTACTGTGAGAAGGAGGAAGCCCAGGGAAGGCTGGGAGTTCCCAGGAGGAGGAAGCAGAGTTCCCAGGGTGAAGCCCCAGCTCCCTAGGGCTGCTGGCAGGCTGGGGCCCAGCGACCTGCAGAGGCTGCCTCAGGGCCACTCAGTGAGAAGGGCACCCAATTCCCACCCCACCCCAGCCTTGGGCAGCCATGATGTCCAAACCTAACCCAAGCATGGGGACTCCATGCATGCTGGCCCCTAATCCTGCTTCAGGGCACACTGGGCAGCAGCTGTTCCCTAGTCCACCCCCAGCAGCCGGGCATGGTTATCCCCTCAGAGCTGCCACCAGGCCCGGGCCTGGGAGGCTCAGTGGGGTGATGTGGGCAGGTGGGGCTAAGGGGGCTAATTGGTCCTTGAGGCTAAGAAAAGGGCTAAGGTGGCCAGACCAGGCCTACCCAGCTTCTCCCAGTCTGGGTGCAGAGCAGATGCTATCCCTGCCCCTTCCCTGGGCTGAGTCAGGGGCTGGAAGAGGGCAGTCTACAACCAGACAGCTGTCTCTGGGGCAGAGCTGGGACTTCCCAAGAGCAATTACTGCTTACCTCATTCCCTTTCTAGGCTGAATTTCACTGAGCCCTTCAAAGACAGGGTTCCAGGCTTCACAAATGAGGAAACTGAGGCCCAGAGAGGCTAAGTAGTAGCCTGTA